TTCTGGCAGATGGACTAAGTTAATTGCTCAGATGACCAAAGTCTTTTACTAAGGATTTTTATTTGTGTGCTGTGAAGATCCTTACAGAGCTGTCCCCAGAGTTCTGGCAAGAAGATTGGAATGAGGAAGTGGAGGAGGGTACCGAGGAGGTGGAGATGGTGCAGAGGGGAAGAGGAAGATGGCCCCAGAGGCAGGTCCTTGGTGCAAGAGGGCTGTTGCATGCCCAGAGACAAAGAAGAAGTTAGGGAACAAGATGTGCCTGATACAATGAAGATAGGTCTTCTTAAAATTGTTTGTTTGCTTCAATTAGTTTAGAAATGGCATTTTATAAAGAGGAGATTTTTAGAATCTTGAATATGTTTCAAACCTTCCAGGTAACAACTGAAATAGGCATCCCATTTGATTGTCTTTATAAGCCTTTTCCAATTGTGCATGCAGGTAAACTAATTTTAGGATAACAAAAGTACCCATTTTAAGCAATGAAGTTTTAAATCATCTTGGGTAATATGATCCAATGGGGCAAGTATTCACAGCAAGAAGGGCCATTTTCCTTAGCATAAATACTGCAGGAGTTACAATAGGGGGCTGATTATTATTTCCCATAACTGAGTACTTACCAAGAACCTGAAACCCAAATATTCCATTCAGAATGAATGAAGATGGAATCCTCCCCTCAAAAATGAGTGAGGACAGAAGCCAGCAACAGAGGACATCCAAATAAAGGCCTGAACCTTGACCAAGATTGGCGGGGGGGGGGGGGGGGGGGGGGGGGGGGGGGGGTGGATTTCACAACCAAGAGGATTTATCACTGTGACTCAAAGCCACCGAAGGTATGTAGGAGTGCAGTGGACTCCTGATACCTTACTCCGATCCAGGGCAACACTGGAAACAGAGGTCAGGTACTTGAGATCCTACCAGCTATGCCAAGTAATGTCGATTAAGAAGAGGCTGTGAAGCAACCAGGGCATTTATTTGGAGTCTTAGGGATTGCAATCTGGGAAACGTCAACCAGAATTGACAGTGCTTTGAAATATGAGTGGGGAGCCCAACTTTATATGTGCAGGCTTATAAAGACAAAACCCACAAGGGTTTTGAAGGAATTAAGGGGGCAGAATTTAAACTATTGAATACACAATTGACTCTTTAGCTAGCAGGTTGTTACATTATCTCTATTTCGGTCCAAAGTAGAAGAGGAGTTTGACATTGTTCTGAGAACTGAGAACAGCGGGGGGCGGGGGTGGGTGGGTGGGGGGTGGGAGGCTGCAATGGTCCTACTTCCTCAAGCCCTTTCAACTGCATTTCGAGTGACTCTCTTAGCAGTGCTGACTTCACCTGGACTCTTGTTTCATAGCTCTTGAATAAAACTGTGTTTCATTAATGAAAACTCCAGGTCCTAAAACTGGTGGATTTTCTCTAAATTAGTTAAATCAGTGCCCTGGTTCTCTGTTTTATTGGATACCTAATGATATTAACCTGAACCACAAACTGTCTGACTGTAAATGCCAGACTTTGGCAGGATCACAGGTAGCTAGAGTTTTACAATTTGAAGAATCCCTAAAGATCCTTTTACAGATAAGAAATCTGTTAATTAAATTTTAGAAGTTTATAAACTTTACCCAAATCACTCAATTTGTTTATAGCAAAATAGGATCCATAATCTGTTTTCTTGGCATCTATTGAGAAATGGTGTAGGAATTATGTAGGAAATTATCAAGGAAATTTCTGATGTTTAAATAAGGAGCCCATATTAGCAGAAAAATTGTTCGAAAAACAAATTAAGGATGTATAACCTATAGAACGCTTAGGCAGGAATCTGAAAAAGTGCACACTAAATAAAGTTTAGCTTGCTTGGGCACTAATACCAGAACTGTAACAGGCAGACCTAGTCTACTTGGTTTAGGTATATGACAGTACTTAAAAGGATCTGCTAACGTAGAACTTTATGATAATACAAAATTACATATGAGAATGAACTATGTAATGTTTGCTGTACACACATATGCATGTACAAGTGCCTTATATATTTCTATAAATATTATACAAGAGGTTTTATATAATTTCAGCATCTTTTCACTAATGAACTGAGTAATCTTGAACTGGTGTGACTCAGAAGTAGTTTTGCTTTTATTTTGATCCTCTTTTCTGGGTGTCACTTAGTCTTGGTGCTGAGATGCACTTTTCTCCTGCCAGAATCCTCAGAACTAATTTCCCTTTGCTTACGCACTTGCCGAAGGCATGGTTTTATTACTTATATACTTGCTCAAGACTGTATGTAAATGCTAAGGCTTTTTCATATTTTTTAATTGGTTTCAGGGGAAGGCTTTCTTTGTTTATGCCCAACAAAATATTTGCTGGGTTGAACTGCTATACTGTATCTATTCTAAGTGCATCATTTCATTGTTTTCTTTGGCAACTGTATTATCTGTACTTTGGCTGAGATCTTCTGTGTAATATCTAAATGTTCCTCCAGAAAGATAATCATCTTACCACACTGTCTGTATTTATGCACGGTATTGTCAGCTGAGGAAAGACACAGAACTGAAACAAAACAAAAGCATTTATTTGAGGTCTCAGAACTGGAATTTGGGGAGTAGAGATTTAAATCGCAACCCACATTACGTCCACTAGCGCACAAAAGTCAAGAGTTTTTAAAGGCAAAAAAGAATGCTTGTATATACGATATTTACAAAGAATTTTGTTTGGTGTTGACAACAGAAATTTAATCTTGGCTACACATAATTGGTTACTGAGGCTATGGCTAAGAAAAAGTAATACTGTAGCAGGTTGCACGTACTGGCTGAGCCCTTGCTATATTGGTAGTGTGGCCCAGTTCAAACATTGCATAAGGCCCACATCCTAATGGCCCCTGTCTCCAGTTTAAAGTCCCTTGACATAAGGTGAGTCCATTTTGTTTCACCTTTCACATTACCCAAGCTCCTTTTTGTAAAAAGAAACTTACAAATAAATGTAAATTTTAATCTTTGATAAATTCACATTTTATGCAAACATTTTTAGGGCTTAGAAAATAGTATATAGGTATTTCTAAATAGAAATCTTCATTTTTTATTCACATGTATGCATATATTTTTATTTAAAAAAATTTTAATGTTTACTTTTGAAAGACACACACACACACAGTTGTGGGGTGAGGGGTGAGGATGGGTAGGGGCAGAGAGAGGGAGACACAGAATCTGAACCAGGCTCCAGGTTCTGAGCTGTCAGCACAGAGCCCAAGGCAGGGCTTGAACTCATGAACTGTGAGATCATGGCCTGAGCTAAAGTCAGACACTCAACTGACTGGGCCACCCTATATATATTTTTTTAAAAGGAGAGTATAACCAGGATTCTGTCACAAAATCATACACACCTTTCCAGGATATCAGTATTTTAAAAGACATTTTGTGCTGTCAATTGGATAGAATTTTTTCTTTCCTTCTTACATTTTGTTCAATCAGAAGGAATTAGAATGGCTTGCTATATTGTTAAATGTAAAGAAAGAACTCTGAATTCCATCATTTGAAGAAAATCAAAGCATGGATTGTACAATTAAGTTCATTTAAGTGCTAAAATTTTAGTATTGGAAGAGACTTGAGAGCTCATTAATTTCATTCCATCTTGTAGATGAGAATACAGAGGTGAAGGGTTTGCCCAAATCAACACAGAGTGATGGCAGCGATTGTCACTCGTCTCCCAACTTTTAGCTCAGTACAGTTTCCACTATGATAATGGTCCTGACATGTTCCACTTTGCTCCTAGTAACTATAGCTCTGTACAACTGGTTTATGTACCTCTCCTCAAGTGTAAAAAATTTCATTTTATAACATTAATTGAATAATTCATATACAAATTCATTTTGTTTGTAAATTTTTCTGTAAAAAATGTCATTTTGGCGGCAGCTGTGTGGCTCAGGTGGCTAAGCGTCTGACTTCGGCTCAGGTCATGATCTCATGGTTCGTGGGTTGAGCCCTGCGTTGGGCTCTGTGCTGACAGCCCAGAGCCTGGAGCCTGTTTCAGATTCTGTGTCTCCCTCTCTCTCTCTGACCTTCCCCTGCTTATGCTGTCTCTTTCTTTCTCTCTCAGAAATAAATAAAACATTAAAAAAATTTTTAATGTCATTTTGTGAATACTAGTTGAAAAATATTTTTTAAAAACTTTTTTTTACATAATTTTTGAGAGAAGGAGCACAGTGTGAGAATCAGAGAGAGAAGGAGACACAGAATCCGAAGCAGGCTCCAGGCTCCAAGCTGTCAGCACAGGGCCTGACATGGGGCTCGAACTTAAACTGTGAGATCATGGCCTGAGCCAAATTTGGACGCTCAACTGACTGAACCACCCAGGCACGCAATTTGAAAAATATTTTTAAACACTGTAATAAAAAATTTCAAACACATGAAGTTACAGTTAATCCTTGTGTGGCCATCACCCAGCTTTAAAAGTCATTGAGATTTTGGCATATTTGCTTCATCTCCTCTGTTTCTTGGCTGATGTATTTTTAAAGCAAGTCCTAGGAAACGCATTATTGCTCACTGTAGATTTTAATATATCTTTCTAAATGATGATTGTAGCATTTTCTTTCATGACCACAATGTCATTTATCACAACAAATCTAACAAAATATAAAAATGTTTCAAACATTTATGGTGCTCCTATAAGACACTATATAGTGCTTCTGGAGTGTGGTGGCCCCCCCCCCTTTTTTTTTTTTAATTTTGCAGGGCTACAATTTGAGGGATTTAATTCCAAAAGTAAACCAGGAAATGAAGGAGAGATTCAAGGATTTCCTGAACAGCATGCGTATATTGTACATCTATGTAATTGTAGAATTTATCTCTACAATTTAATTTATCTGATAAATCTTCATTTTATCCCTAAGCAAATTGGAAAGTTTTAGGAGCAGAGAATGCTAATTTCAGATATCAAAATATATCTCTCAACTCCAATTATTCATATACAATTTTATTAATTTTTTCATGAATGTCTTTTGATACTCTTTCCACCAGGAAGAACAAAGAAAAATAGAAGAAGAAAAAGAAAAGAAAAAAGAGAATGATATGGTATTTAAAGCATGGTTGCAAAAAAAAAGAGAGCAGATCCTAGAAATGAGGAGAATTCAGCGAGCAAAGCAAATTGAAGACATGAATAGCAAGGTAAGTAAAACTTCTGTATGAAAATAAGTTTATACAGATATGAAGGCTGAGTTACAAGAAGAAATGTGAATATCAGAATAAGAACCTCTGGAAAAAGTAGGACAAGTGGTCCAAGAATGGCCCTTGTAAAAGAAGCAACATACAGATGACTTTGCAATTAAATTCTAAGAAAATCAAATGATTCTTATTTTGAATAGACTTTTATAGTACAGAAAATGGAAAACCACCAATATGTTTTTTCAGGATATTTTAATTTTGATATTCAAATAGGACAAAGATAGCACACACACAAACAGAATGGTTCTACTTAAGAATAGACATATGGGGCGCCTGGGTGGCTCAGTCAGTTAAGCGCCCGATTCTTGATTTCAGCTCAGGTCATGATTTCACGGTTCATGGGATGCAGCCCCAAGTTCTCTGTCTGACTCTCTCTTTGCCCTTCCCGTACTTGTGCTCTCTGTCTCTCAAAATAAATAAATAAACATAAAAAATAGTGGACATATAGACAGATGGAGAAAAGACAAATACCATATGATTTCAACTCATATGTAGAATCCGAAAAACTGAACAAAAAGGAGACTCAGATCTACAAATAAAGAGAACAAAGTGATGGTTGCCAGGGCCCAGAGGTGGGGGTAGGGGGAGGGGCAAAATAGGTGAAGGGGAATGGGAAGTACGGGCTTCCTATTATGGAATGAATAAGTCATTGCAATAAAAGGGTCAGCATGAGGAATACAGTAAGTGATATTGTAACAGTGTTGTGTGGTAACAGATGGTAGCTACCCTTGTGGTGAGCTTAGAGAGGGTGATTCACTGTGTCATAAACCTGAAACTAATGTAACATTATTGAATGTCAACTATACTCAAAAAATTTTTTTAAAAGAATGATATATATAAATCTTATATGAAAGCTAACAAATTAAAGACACCAAATTATTTAGTTTTTAAAAATTTGAAACATAGGAAACCAAAGACAAAGCAAAAAGTCATCCATATCCCTACTATTTTTTCCAAAAAGCATATAACAAAAAATTGAAAATTCAGTCCTGTGCCCTACGTATCCTGACTCATCTCCTAGTGATAAGTGCTTTTAAAGTGTGGTGCAAGTCTTCCGAGCCTTATTTATATTTATGGTTTTACAAATCAAAAATTTATTGTGCACTTTGCTTTTTTTCCCCATTTAACGCATCATGGTCATATTTCTAGGTCATTAAATTTAGATATTTCTTTTTTAAAAAAAATCTTTTTTTTCATTTTTTACAAATCGTTTATTGTCAAATTAGTTTCCACATAACACCCAGTGCTCATCCCCATGAGTGCCCTCCTCCATGCCCATCGCCCCCTCCCCTCCACATCCATCAGTCCTCAGTTTTTGTCAGCATTCAAGAGTCTCTCATGGTTTGCCTCTCTCCCTCTCCCCCACCATTTCCGCCCTTCTTCTCCCCCTTGTTCCTCCGTCAAGTTCCTCCTAATCCTCCTATACGTGCAAATATATGATATTTGTCCTTCTCTGCCTGACTTATTTCGCTCAGCATAACACCCTCAGGATCC